TACAGAATCAGGATACAAATAAGAAAAATATTTTGTACAACTGTGCAATGTGTTTGTGTTTTCGGCTAAATGTTAATACAACAGCCAAAAAGTTAAAAAAAATAAAGTTTATAAAGTAAAAACATTACAGTAAGTGAATATTAACTTCCTAAAGAAAAATCTTAAAGTATATGCAGTGCAGCCTGTGTACACTTGACAGTGGTACACAGTGATGTCCTAGGCCTGCATGTTCAACCCCTACTCACTCCCTGACTCATTCAGAACAGCTTCCGGTCCCATAAGATCCATTCATGGTAAATGTCCTTTATGGGTGTACCACTTTTATTTATTTATTTTTTTTTTGAGAAGGAATCTGGCTCTGTCACCAGGCTGGAGTGCAGAGACACGATCTCAGCTCATTGCAACCTCCGCCTCCCGGGTTCAAGCGATCTCCTGCCTCAGCCTCCTGAGTAGCTGGAATTACAGGTGCACACCACCACACCCAGCTAATTTTTAGTAGAGATGGGGTGTCACCATGTTAGCCAGGCTGGTCCTGAACTCCTGACCTCGTGATCTGCCCGCCTCGGACTCCCAAAGTGCTGGGATTACAGGCGTGAGCCACCGTATCCAGCTTTTCTTCTTATTTTTTTTTTGAAACAGAGTCTCGCTCTGTTGTCTAGGCTGGAGTACAGAGGCATGATCTCGGCTCACTGCAACCTCCACCTCCTGGGTTCAAGCAATTCTCATGCCTCAGCCTCCAAATAGCTGGGATTGCAGGCGTGTGCTACCACGCCTGGCTAATTTTTGTATTTTTAGTAGAGATGGGGTTTTGCCATGTTGGCCAGGCTGGTCTCAAACTCCTGACCTCAAGTGATCTACTCACCTTAGCCTCCCAAACTACTAGGATTACAGGTGTGAGCTACGACGCCCAGCCCATTTTTTTCTTTACAGTTTTTACTGTACTTTTTCTATGTTTAGATATATTTAGATCCACAAATACTTCCCATTGTGTTGCAGTGGCTTCCAGTATTCAGTACTGTCAGATGCTGTAGCGGTTTACAGCCTAGGAGCAATAGGCCGTGCCACACAGCCTACAAGTGTAGCAAAATCACCTAAAGATGCATTTCTTAGAACCTTGATTGATGCATGACTGTAAGTTTAAAACGAAGATGATGTGTTGGGGTACTGAAAAGGTGGCTGTAGGGAAGGTCACAGAACAGCACCTGAGGTGAAAGGCTAGCAGACGTATGCCAGACTGAAAAGAAACATTCATCCCAAGTACAAAGACTCACTTGTTTGTTCAATCAATATTTGGGTTCCCATGAAATGGTTGGCAGTATCCTGGGGGCTGGAGAGTCTATGAACAAGACAGACAAGGTCTCGGTTCTCAAGAATATTATAGGCTAAAAGAGAGAGCGAAGCAAGACAGATAAACAAGTAAATGAACAAGAAATGCTCAGTAATGCTCAGTTTGTGATTCCTACCACAAAGAAAATAAAGCAGGTTTCAGAGCAAGGAACGGAAGTAATTTACATTTTGTTACCAGGTATGGTCTGAAACAGTAACAGTATGAACTGAAATGACAAAAAAGATTCTACCGTGCAGAGATCCTGGAACAGCATACAGAGTTTTATCTGACACGAGAGATGCCAGTGGCTTGGCCTAGGGTGGCAGCAGTGAGACTCCGAAGAAATGAAGAGATTCAGGATACACTCTAGAGACACAGCCAATATTTCAGACACAGGGAGTGAGAGGAAAAAGAATGAAGTGTCTTGAATACCTGGGGAACGGTAATGCCACTAAGGGAGACTGGGAAGACTCGGAGAGGAACAAGTGCTGGCAGAGAATCAGGGGTTCTGTTTGGTCCAAACACAGACACATTCACCATCAACTAAGAAGTAGAGGGGTGGTTGCCAGGGGCTGGGGGAAGGGAGAAATGAGGAGCTACTGTTTAAGGAGTACGAAGTTTCAGTTTCTACAAGAGTTATGGGGATGGATGGTGGTGATGGTCGCATAGCATTAAGGCTGTATTTAATACCACTGAACACACACTTTAAAAATGGTTGGCCGGGCGCGGTGGCTCAAGCCTGTCATCCCAGCACTTTGGGAGGCCGAGGCGGGTGGATCACGAGGTCAAGAGATCGAGACCATCCCGGTCAACATGGTGAAACCTCGTCTCTACTAAAAATACAAAAAATTAGCTGGGCATGGTGGCGCGTGCCTGTAATCCCAGCTACTCAGGAGGCTGAGGCAGGAGAATTGCCTGAACCCAGGAGGCCGAGGTTGCGGTGAGCCGAGATCGCGCCATTGTACTCCAGCCTGGGTAACAAGAGCGAAACTCCGTCTCAAAAAAAAAAAAAAAATGGTTAAGATAGGGCCGGGTGTGGTAGCTGATGCCTGTAATTCCAGCACTTCCGGAGGCCAAGGCAGATGGATCACTTGAGGTCAGGAGTTCAAGAGCAGATTGGCCACTGTGGCAAAACTCCACCTACTAAAGATACAAAAATGAGCCGGGTGTGGTGGCACATGCCTGTAATCCAGCTACTCGGGAGGCTGAGGCAGGAGAATCGATTGAACCCAGGAGGTGGAGGTTAAAGTGAGCTGAGATCGCGCCACTGCACTCCAGCCTAGAGTGACAAGAGAGTCTGTGGTGGGAATTGCTAACTGAACATTTCTTGTTCGTTCACTTGTTTATCTGTTACCCAGAGTGGGTCTGGGTGACAGAGTGAGACTCTGTGTTTAAAAAAAAAAAAAAGGTTAATATAGGAAATTTTACGTCATATTTTACCACAATAAAAATTTTTTGAAAAAAAAAAAAAAAAGATGCCAACTAGGCAATTAGATATAAGAATTTGGGGATTTCTGGACGAGTCTAGGCTGGAGTTATCAACTGAGGGCAACATCAGTATCCCTCCAGAGATCACCTGAGTATTTAACAATGACCCCAGAGATCACTTGAATTAGGTAGAGAGGAAGACAGATGACGGATTCGTGGCACACGCCACCACTCAGGGGTCCACAAGACAGAGAAGGGACAACACGCAACTGTGAAGACGTGTCTTGGGGTAGCAGAAAACACAAATCACAGAAGTCTGGTCGCTCACATGATCACCCAGACATCCCGGCCAACAAAACAGGCTTATCACACTTGGCCTCTCTGTTTGCCTAAGGTGGGAGGGAGGTCATGTACAATTCCCTGTTCTTCTCTTTTCACACCTCCTGCCAATCCACTAAAACGAGGGTGACCACATAGTTTTATCGATGTTCTACTTGTTTATGTATTTTATTTACAAACTTGAGTTTTGAGAGTAAAAAGGAGAGCTTTTTATAACCACATCAGGACAACAGCATACCTAGGGTTATCCTGAATGTACCCTGGGGTGTAATAACCACCCTTTCTACAAATCTAAGCACTCAACCTGAACTTCTAAACAAACTTATGAATGCTTTGGGTCAGACTTCCCACCCAAGCTCCTTGCTGTTTCTCCCAGAAATTCTCACCTGGAAGGAAAATGACGGGGTGCAGTGTGCTGGAGGGGTGGAATTCCACCGATCCAGTTATGCACAGAAAGCAGGAAAGAACTGAGGGTCCTTCTGAGTCGCCCAGGAGGATACAGAGCCCCCAGATTAAACGAAGGGCACCCATGCCAGCGCTGGCCGACCCTGGCCACCTCTCTGTGTCTTCCTTCCTCAGTCTGCAACACAGGGACGCTCCACTTCTGCCGCGAGGATAAAGCGAGCATTTGCACACCCTCTCTTAGCTCTGGGCCCGGCAGGTAAAAAGCAGGAAGGTGTACATAAAAGCAGTCACCCCTGCTGAAGGCTCCTCAACTCGGGGTTCGAGTCCCAGCTCTGCCGTGGCCTGGCAACCCCTTCTCGCTGCAGACCCAACGCGGTGAGCAGGTCCCCCGCCCGTGCTCAGACCCGGACAGGAATGCACACCTCTCCCCACCCTCGGACGCCCCGGCGGCGCCGCTGCAGAAGCCGGGAGGTCGGACAGAAGAGGAGGAGGGAAGGAAGGAGGGAAGGATGGAGAAAGGGAAGGAAGGAGGAAGAACGAAGTGAGGAAAGAGGAAGGAGTGGAGGAGGGAGGAAGGAAGAGAGGGACATGAAGCAGGATGGAAGGAGGAAGGAAGAAGGGAAGGGAAGGAGGAAGGAACGAAGAAAGGAGAGGAAGGAAGGAATGAGGGAAGGAAGAACGAAGTGAGCAAAGAGGATGTCAGGGAAGAAAGGAGGGAGGAAAGGAAGAAAGGGAGGGGGGCAAAAGGGAGGGGGACGGAAGGGAAGTGGGAGGAAGAAGGGAAAGAAGGAGGAAGGAAGGGAAGGGGGAGAGAGGCAGGAAGGAGGCAGGAAGGAGGGAAGGAAGGGAATGAAGAAGGAAGGGAAAGGGGAGGAAGAGAGGGAGGAAGGAAAAACGGAGGAAGGAAGGGAGGCAGGAAGAAGGGAAGGAAGGAGAAAAGAAGGGAAGGGGAAGGAAGGAAGGAAGGAAGGAAGGAAGAAGGGCCGGGCGGCCACTGACCTGCTTGAAGGTGCTGCTGAGGAAGTAGACGAGCGACAGCCCGAAGACCAGGGCGAGCACCCACCTCTTCCGCAGAAGCCGGCGCCACACCATGGCCGCCAGGTTCACCATCCCGGCGCAGACGTGGGGCGCGGCGGCCGGGGCGCGGGACGCGGGAGGCCCGGGATCCGGGCGGCATGGCCCCTACGCGCCCGGCAACCCCATCCCTCCAGGTGGGCGCCGGCCCCGCGGCCCGCGGCCCTGTCAGCTCCCGGCAGCCCTGCGCGGCGCCCCACGTGACCCCGCCCTACGCCCCGCCTCCGCTCCGTAACGTCACGGGCTAGTCGCGCAAGACCTCCTCACCATTGGGCCCTGAGGAGCGGCGGCCTTCTATTGGCTAAATTCCGGGAAAGGGGGCGGGCAATTGCGCGAGTTGCGGCGGGCGTAGCTGTGCCCGGGTCCTAGCGCCGGGCCGGGCGACGCCGGGAAGCCGCCGAATAGGAGGCCGGAAGCATCGGAAGTCACATGCTGCCCGAGTTGCGCGGGTGATTGGCTTGGCTGGACCTGAATGATGCGGCTGTGATTGCTGAATTGTCTGGGCAGGTAAAAAGAGAACGCGATGTTTTTTTTCTTTTCTCCCAGCATGGTCTGTGTAGTCTCCTGCCCTCGCAGTCCCAGAGCGTTTTGCGCTGTGTTGGTTGCAGGGATGAAAAGCGCTCGCTATGTCGTGCCCGAAGTGCACCTGCCGGCTTCCAGTCCAAGCGATGCAGGCGATGCTCCGCTGAGTGCATTTCGGTGCAGTCCTGTAACGGGCCCCGGGGGCGCAACTTGAAACATCGCAGGCATCGAAAAGTCTCGGTGCTGTCCTTCAAAGATGCATAGTGGGATGCACGAAGCAGAGGGTTAAAAGGTGTTTCATTCATTTAGATGCATCCCGCGTGCAAAAATTTATTCCAGAATTAGGTACGGCCTGCTTCCAACAGAGAATCCGAAGCCTCTTCCAATACAAGCATCCGAAAGTAGTCTTGAGCATTCGATTTAGGAGGCGGTATTAAATGTGTGGATGAGAACTCTGGAATACTAAGTTTTATTTTACCCCAAGGATTTGCAATGTGGGATAATGGGGGCGGGGGGATGTGAGAGGGAGATTCAGTTGAGATTGTAAATTCTTGAAAAATATTTATGCAATGACCTTTTCTTTATATATGAAGATGCTGCTGCTGACCGATTTTTTACCTAATTTTTCAAAGAAAGGAAGCTTCGCTGGCGGGTTGTTTCTAATCAGTGCCCCTAGCGACATCAACGCTGTCCCCTCAAGAAGCCAGGTCAGGATTAGGAAGTCATTCAACAGTCAGTAATAGTGCCCTGAACTGATAGTCAGACACTGTCTTTGGTTCAGAGACAAGAAGATATTCACGGAGGCTAAACCTGTTCGTAGGAAGTAAATGGCCCTTATTGCCTTGCTAGGGTGAAAAGTGGGACAGAGAGCAAGGAATTCTAAAAAGGGGGAACTGGGAGACCCATAGATGTTTTATTCATTGAGTAAATACTTGTTGAGTGCTACTCTGTGCCAGACAGTGTCCTAGATGCTGAGGCAGAGGGGTGAACCAAGTAGACAGGATCCCTACTTTCATGAATGGCATTTATATTCTAATGGGGGGGGGGACAAATCATAAATAAATAAGCAAACATGAACAAATAAGTGCTATGAAGACTGTAAAACAGGGCAGTGTTATAGAGGGTCGGGAGAATGAGAAGAGAAGGCCTCTGGGAGGAGGTGGTGTTTGCCCTGTGGGACCAAGCCCTGTAACATTTAGAGGAGAAAGTATTCCAAGGGGAGGGAACAGCCAGTGCAAAGGCCCTGAGGCAGGGACACGCTGACACATTAGAGGAACAGAAGGGCCGCTGTGGGTGGGCAGAAGTGGGAAAAGGGAGAATGGGAGGAAATGCAGTTGGAAACTGATGATGCTACATCAGGAAGAACCTGTAGGCTATGGACAGAGCTTGGGTTTGATTCTGATTGCAATGGGCAGCCTTGGGAGTTTAAAACATATATTCGGTGTTCTCCAATCAGGACTCTTAGTTTAACAATAGGATGAAATACAATACATTAAGAGTTTCAAAAAGGGCTGGACGTGGTGGCTCATGTCTGTAATCCCAGTACTTTGAGAGGCCGAGGCAGATGGATCACTTGAGGTCAGGAGTTCAAGACCAGCCTGGCCAATGTGGTGAAACCCCGTATGTACTAAAAATACAAAAAAATAGGCAGATGTGGTGTCGCACGCATGTAATCCCAGCCATTCAGGAGGCTGAGGCAAGAGAATCGCTTGAACCCAGGAGGCAGAGGTTGCAGTGAGCTGAGATCACACTACTGCATTCCAGCCTGGGTGACAGAGTGAGACTCCATCTTAAAAAGAAAAAAAAGGAGTTTCAAAGAGGGATCAGTGAGAGGCCTACCCAGAGATACGGAGCAGATGGAATCCATGTGCTTACAGCCACCGACCGTGTCCTAAGGCTTCTTAGCAGATTCTAGGTATCGCAGGGACTGTTCATCCAAGTGTTCTGTTCCATCCAGGTTTAGAGTCTCTGGCGAGCTCCCCTGACTGTGCGTCCCTCTGGAGACGAAGAGGAGGGGGAGGCGTGTCCTCTCTGGGATCCAGTGGTCACATCCCCCTCAGGAGCCCCGAATGCCTACCTCCAGTGTCGTCAACATGGAGTTCTGAAGTCCATGTGGCTCTTCACAGTGAATCAGGTGACATGTCTCCAAGAGAATTTGTATCTTTATTACTACTTGATTAGCTGGAAGGAAGCTTTGGTTTGACCACTCCACCCCTTCCACCTAACGCATGGGGAATCTGAAACCACAGAGAGGTTACTGATTTGTCTAGGGTCACACAGCAAGTTAGCAGCAGCATCAACCCAGAATCCATGTCTCCCAACTGCCAGTCTGCTGCCCACTTCACTTCATCTGGCACCTCTCGGCTACACAGTTCACTGCTTTATCCTCTCATATGAGGACTTCTTCCACCTCTGAGCCTCATCGTCCTCCTCTGTGAAATGGGGTGACAGCTTTCCTCATGGGATAGAATGTCACACTGAGGATGGAATGGCATGAAAGATTGAAACACACTTTGGAAAATGCCAGAGAGCACTAGGGGTCTAAGATACCACTAGCATGGGTTTGCAGTTTACAATTACCTTGGCAATCGGACAGGCAATGGGCGTGTTGGGAGACTCTGGCTCACCCCTCTGTTGGGTTTTAGGTGTTAAGGAAGATGCAGAGACGCCACAGCAGCAACACGGATAACATTCCACCCGAAAGGTAGGCATCCCTGCTTCTGCTCCATCTGAGGGCTCTGGGCTGCGGGTGGCAAGGGGCAACCCAGAACTGGATCGAACAATGCCTCCCCCTCAGAGTCAGTTAGAGTTACAGTGACGGCCTCATACTAAACACTCAATACTTAATAGCTTGCTTTTGCTTTTATGCTAAATCTCAAAGCCTTGTGTGACAGGTGAGCTACCTGACTCATCGGATCAATGATTGTACCTTGGGGATTTTAATTTATAGAGATGTCTTAGCCCATTCAGGCTGCTATCACAAAAATACCATAGAATGGGTGTTGGTTTGTTTTTTGAGACAAAGTCTTGCTCTGTCACCCAGGCTGGAGTGCGGTGTCAGGATCTCGGCTCGCTGCAACCTCCACCTCCTGGGCTTAAGCAATTCTCCTGCCTCAACCTCCCAAGCAGCGGGGATTACAGATGCCTGCCACCACACCCAGCTAATTTTTGTATTGTTAGTAGAGACGGAGTTTCACCATGTTGGCCAGCCTGGTCTCAAACTTCTGACCTTAAGTGATCCACCCGCCCTGGCCTCCCAATGTGCTGGGATTACAGGCGTGAGCCACAGCGCCTGGCTCCTTTCTTTTTTTTTGAAACAGCCTCACTATGTCACCAGGCTGGAGTATGGTGGCATGATCTTGGCTCACTACAGCCTCTGCCTCCCAGATTGAAATGATTCTCGTGCCTCAGCCTCCCGAGTAATTGTATTTCAGTAGAGTCAGGGTTTCACCATGTTGGCCAGGCTGGTCTTGAACTCTTGACCTGAAGTGATCCGCCCACCTTGGCCTCCCAAAGTGCTGAGACTATAGGCCTGAGCCACTGAGCCCAGCCAAATGGGTGGTTTAAATAACAAATATTTATCTCTCACAGTGCTGGAGGCTAGGAAGTCTCAAAAGCTCCTGCATATTCAGTGTCTGCTAAAGGCCCACTTTCTGGTTAATGGGTGGCCATTCTCTTGCCATATCCTAATGTGGTAAAGGGAAAGGGATCTCTCTGGGTCTCCTTTTTAGGGGCACTAATCCCATTCTTGGCGAGCCCATCGCATCACCTGATCATTCCCAAAGGCCCCACCTCCTAGTACTATCACACTGCAGGTCAGGTTTCTTTTTTGAGACAGGGTCTTGCTCTGTTACCTGGGCTGGAGGGCAGTGGTGATTATGGCTCACTATAACCTCCAAATCCTAGGCTCAAGCAATCCTCCTGCCTCAGCCTCCCAGGTAGCTGGGACTACGGGCATGTGCCATTATACCTGGCTAATTTCAAAAATTTTTTTGGTAGAAGCAGGGTCTCACTAAGTTGTCCAAATTGGCCTCAAACTCCTGAGCTCAAGCAATCTTCCTACCTCGACCTCCCAAAGCCCTGGGATTATAGGAATGAACCACTGTCCCTGGCGTGGGTTAGGTGTCAACATAAGAATCTGCAGGGGACACAGACATTCAGATCATAACTCCGAGAAACAACACAGAGAGGCTAATGACGTTGAAAGATGAGTTTTTTATTTCTTCGATTTCCCAAAAGGAGGGGGCATACCGCCGCATGCACGACCCCCTGGGAAAGCACCAGCGTCGGTCAGGAGACAGAAAGGAGGAAGAAGCACAGGCCACAGCCTTTATGATGGTTTCTGTGGGAAAGACGGGCAAGGCAGGGGAAACCATTTATGACTGGCTAGTTTGAATGATGTTGGTGGGCTCTGGGTATCAAGGTGGTCTCTTTTTTTTTTTTTTTCTGTTACCCAGGCTAGAATGCAGTGGCGCAATCTCAACCCACTGCAGCCTCGACCTCTCAGGATCAAGTGATCCTCCCACCTCAGCCTTCTGAGCAGCTGGGACGACAGGCATGCACTACCGTGTCCAGCTAATTTTGGTATTTGTAGAGACAGGGTTTTGTGATGTTTCCTAGGCCGGTCTCAAATTCTTGGGCTCAAGCGATCTGCCCTCCTTGGTCTCCCAAACTCCTGCTCACTGAGATTATAAATGCGAGCCACTCTGCCCGGCCTCAAGTTGCTCTTTAGTTTGGTATCTAGCCCTGGATGATGTAGGACAGGAGAAATACTGGCTGCATGTGTAAATTTTAGATGAAGGAAGGGCTATGCAGTGACTCACACCTGTAATCCCAACACGGGGAGACCAAGGTGGGAGGATAACCTGAGTCTGGGCGTTGGAGACCAGCCGAGGTGATAGAGGGAGATCCTGTCTCCACAAAAAAAGTTTAAAACTAGCCAGGCATGGTGGTACGTGCCGATAGTCTCAGCACTTTGGGAAGCCAAGGTGGGAGGATTGCTTGGGCCCAGAAGTTTGAGACCAGCCTGGGCAAAATAGAGAGACCCCCATTTCTACAAAAAAATAAAAACTTAACCAAGCATGGCGGCATGCATCTGTGGTCCTAGTGACTCAGGAGGCAGAGGTGGAGAATTGCTTGAGCCCAGGAGGCGGAGGTTGCAATGAGCTATGATTGCACCACTGCACCCCAGCCTAGGCAACAGAGTGAGACCCTGTCTCAAAAAAAAAAAAAAAAAAAAAAAAAAGTTAGATGAAGCAGCAATTAGGGTTATGGGTTCTGGATCTCAGGGACATGTAAATAACTTTGGCCATGAGTTTGACCCTGTGACTAATGGATACCAGATAGAATCTTTTAAAGAGGCAATTAAAACACTCATGAGCTAGGATTTTTTTTTTTCCTTTTTTTTGAGATGGAGTCTCACTCTATCACCCAGGCTGGACTGCAGCAGCATGATCTCAGGTCACTGCAACCTCTGCCTCCCGGGTTCAAGCTATTCTCATGCCTCAGCCTCCTGAGTAGTTGGGACTACAGTCGCCTGCCACGATGTTTGGCTAATTTTTTTGTATTTTAGTAGAGACAGAGTTTCACCATATTGGCCAGGTTGGTCTTGAACTCCTGAGCTTGGGCAACCCATCTACCTCAGCTTCCTAAAGTGCTGGGATTACAGGCATGAGCCACTGCTCCCAGCCTAGAATTTCTAGCTATTGAAACCCAAGAGAGAACACACCTGGGGACCTGTTCTCAGGTTGGGACAACTTCCAGCCCCAGAAGCCCCACGTTAGCACATACTTCCAAGGGGCAGGCAGCCAAGCCTTCCCTCCCTCACATCCCCTTCCCCCTGCGGCTCCGGGTTTGGCTACAAAATCACAAATATTATCCCCCGGCTCCAGCACTGGGACTACGTTTTGTATGGTGCCTGCCTGTTCTGCAGGGAAGAACCCCAGGCTCACCCACACCCCCGCTCAGCCACCTCCCACCTGTGGTGACTTTGGTGCGTGACTTCCCCCTCTAGGTCTCAGCTTCTCCATCCAAAAATGGCAGGTGACAGAACTCAAGAGTTGCTTAGGTGCCAGGTACAGTGGCTCACGCCTGTAATCCCAGCACTTTGGGAGGCCGAGGCAGGCGGATCACCTGAGATCAGGAGTTGGAGACCAGCCTGGCCAACATGATGAGACCCCGTCTCTACTAAAAATAAAAAAAATTAGCCGGGTATAGGGGCAGACGCCTGTAGTCCCAGCTGCTCAGGAGATTGAGGCAGGAGAATCGCCTGAACCTGGGAGGTGGAGGTTGCAGTGAGCCAAGATCATGCCACTGCACTCCAGCCTGGGTGACAGAGTGAGACTCTGTCTCAACAAGAAGAAAAAGAGTTGTTTATGGATGAAGGAGTGAGTGTGAAGATGCAGGAACACACATCGGCTTGTAATAAGCCTGCCTGTTGGACCCTTTTCCGCCTCTAAAGATGACATTGCCATCTGCTGTCAAGTGAACCATGAGATCTCTTGGGGGCAGAGACCACAGCAGGAAACTCAAACCGTGTATTGAGTGCTTATGCTGTGCTAACCGTCACATTAGCCCGGCGAGAACACCTATTTTACAGATGCAGAAACTGAGGCTCACAGAGGGGAAGGAAATTACCTAAAGTCACACAGCCAGACATTTGGGCCCCCATCCATTCGTCCCCCAGCATCTCTGCTTTGAGATACCACGTTTTGGCTGCCTGCTGTCTGAGCAGAGCCACTTCTCCTCCGGGGTTGCCTCAAGCTCTGGCCCTTAAGTGGTTAATCTGGAAGTGAAGCCTCTGTCTCCCTCTAAGGAATATTCTTTCCTAGTTAGGCTGAAATCTCGGCTGGATGCAGGGGAGAGGCCCAGGGAAGGGAGGCCAGCTATAAAAAGCCCCTTGGTGGGTTGAGTCTTCCCTGGGTGTACTGGAAGCCCCTGGGCCCAGTGAACTCAGAGTGCTGGCAAGCTCAAGGGGGACGGGATGGCTTTCTAGGGCCCCTTGGGTGGCCAGGGAGAGAGAGTGGCCTCCTTGTGGGCCAACATGGGTACCTGCCAGGACTCTTGCTTTCTGAGCTGAGTTCCTCCAAGTGCAGAAAAAGCTCAGAGTCCCTTGAGGATGATAGCCATGGTGTTTGCTGTTATTGTCATTATTAATATTATCATTATTATTATCCAGAGCTCAGGGGAGGAGGGGTTCATGTTTCCTGGGCTCTTGGAGCCAGCAGGGATGGGGCTTGGTTGGGGAGCAAATCCAATCCTGAGTTTCCTCTGTTGCACCAGGTTGTTTTTTTTTTTTTTTTTTTTTTTTTTTTTTTTTTTTTGACACGAGTCTCACTCTGTCGCCCAGGCTGGAGTGCAGTGGCACAATCTTGGCTCACTGCAGCCTCCACCTCCCAAGTTCAAGCGAGATTCTACCTCAGCCTCCTGAGTAGCTGGGATTACAGATGTGTACCACCATGCCTGGCTAATTTTTGTATTTTTAGTAGACAGGGGGCTTCGCCGTGTTGGCCAGGTTAGTCTCAAACTCCTGGCCTCAGGTGCTGGGGTTACAGGTGTGAGCTACCATACCCAGCCTGCTTCGAAATCCTGACCTCAACCGATCTGCCCACCTTGGCCTCTCAAAGTGCTGGGATTACAGGCGTGAGCCACTGTGCCTGGCCTCACCAGGTTTTTAGTGACATACTTGCAGGCCCAGTCTGTGCAGCCAGGGAAACCACCGTGTCCCCTCTGCTGTGTGTCACAGGCGTTCTGCAAGCTGTTAAATGGTTTCCCATGGATAAAAAGAATTCTGTGGTTAAAGAAGTTTGGGGAACACTGGCCTTAAGCAAAGTTCATTTTTTTCAGTTGCACGCCTTCTCGGAGCCTTTAGTACACTTCTTTATGCATTCATTCAAATAAGATTTATTGAGCATGTTCTGAGTGCCAGGTGTATGGTGTGGGGTGGTAGAACAAGGCTGTAGTGTTTGACCTTGTGGAGTGGAGCTCTGTCCAAAGCTATGGTAGGCAGCACTGACTGCACATTAGAATCACTGTGGTGGGGGGTGGTGGGGAATGATGGCTCATGCTTATAATCCCAGCATTTTCGAGGCCAAGACAGGAGGATCACATGTACTCAGGAGTTTGAGACCAGCCTGGCCAATGTGACGAAAACCTATCTCTACAAAAAATACAAAAATTACCCAACCATGGGTGGCGTACACCTGTAATCCCAGCTACTCAGGAGGCTGAGGCACGGGAATCACTTGAACCCGGGAGGCAGAGGTTGCAGGGAGCCGAGATCATGCCACTGCACTCCACTCTGGGCAACAGAGGGAGACCCTGCTCAAAAAAAAAAAAAAAAAAAAAAAGAATCACTGAGGGGACTCTGAGTAACTTCAGATGCTGCGGCCCACCCACAAAGATTTTGATTCAGTTGGTCTCCAGCGGGGTCAGGGCACCTGTTTTTTTCAGAAGTTCCCCCAAGTGATTATAATACATGGCCACAGTTGAGAGCCACAGGTCTTGAGAGAAAGATGAGGAATAAAGTGACAGCTGTGATGAGTCCTGTGCAGGCGACATGAGGGTACAGTGAGAACAAGGAACCGGGGCCTGTCGTTGTCTGGGAGGGAGGGGACCCTCCACCCAGGAAGGGAGACGTTAGCTGAAATCTGACAGATGAGCGTGCGTTACCTAGTTGGGATGGGGTGCAGGTAGGAGAGACATCCCGGTGAAGGCGACAGCCTGGAGTAGGAAAGGAGAAGCGAGCACACGATGAGATTAGAGTTTGGCAGCTTCATCTCTCTGAATCTCAGTTTCTTTGTCAGTAAGGGACATGATGCTTGGGAATGATATTTGTACCTATCTAGAGGGTTCATCTGAGATCTTGGGAAGGAATACAGAATGGGAAACCCTGGGAGCACTTTTAGTGGGATCATGAAATAATCGAATAAAGTCAGCCCTCCATATTCATGGGGGGATTGTTTCCAAGACCCCCAGTGGATACCAGAATATGCAGCTGCTCAAGTCGGTTGTATAAAATGGCTAGAACAGTCAGCCCTTTGTATCTGTGGGTCCATGACCCAAGGCTGGTTGAATCCTTAAATATGGATGCTGAACTGTATGTGTTTTATTTTTATTTATTTACTTAGTGAGAAAACATCTTACCCTGTCACCCAGGCTGGAGTGCAGTGGCGTGAACTCAACTCACTGCAACTTCTACCTCCTGGGCTCAAGCCGTCCCCCCACCTCAGCCTTCTGAATAGCTGGGACTACAGGTGCATGCCACCGTGCCCAGCTAATTTTTAAATTTTTTTGTAGAGACAGGCTCTTGCTATGTTGCCCAGGCTGGTCTTGAACTCCTGAGCTCAAGGGATCTCCCCGCCTTGGCCTCCCAAAGTGCTAGGATTATAGGCGTGAGCCACATGGCCTGATCGTGTATATATTTGTATATATTTTAAGACATATTTCCTGGAGCCATTTGCAGTGGCACATGCCTATAATCCCAGCTATTCAGGAGGCTGAGGTAGGAGGATCACTTGAGCCCAGGAGTTTGAGGCTCTAGTGAGCTATGATCAGACCACTCCAGCCTGAGCAACTCACTGCACGCTCATGTCTCACCCTGTGGATAATGGTCTCATATAATAGATGACATGAGAGCAAGTGTGAAAACAGTGGAAATTTTTCCCCAAAGCCTCCTGCTGCCATTTTGATGTGAATGACATCTGGTATATACTTATTAAGCACCTAATGTGTGCCTTGAATGGGGTCCAGAGAATGAATGAAGCCCAGCCCATTTTCAATAAGCTCATGGTATATTTGGAGTCCCTTAGTGGTCTGTGGAGGTGCCTGCAGGGTGACAGAAGGAAGGAGTGGCTCTTTGTCCCTCCCTTTCCCCCACAAATGCCCGTCAAGCACATCAGCTCCACTTACATCTGTGGTGTGGACTGTTTGCAGTACAGTGATTCCACTTGAAAAGAGGATGAACCCTTGGCTGGGGGCAGTAGCTCTTGCCTATAATCCCAGCACTTTGGGAGGCTGAGGTGGGTGGATCACCTAGGTCAGGAGTTCAAGACCAGCCTGGCTAACATGATGAAGCCCGCCTCTACTAAAAATACAAAAATTAGCTGGGCATGATGGCAGGTGCCTGTAATCCCAGCTACTTGGGAGGCTGAGGCAGGAGGATCCCTTGAACCCGGGAGGTAGTGGTTGTGGTGAGCCGAGATTGCACCATTGTACTCCAGTCTGGGCAACAAGAGTGAAACTATGTCTCAAAAAAAAAATTAAAAAAAAAAAATGCTAGAGATAATTGTTCCCATGTATTGAGCACCTATTATTGCAAAATGTATTTTACATTTAATGTGCCCCCCACCACCAGAATTCTATTCAAGAATAAAGGCCCATTTCTCAGGTGAGAAAGCTGAGTGCAGAGGTATAAGCCCCTAGAAGAGGTGGGGATGCAGTCTGAATGTGGGCCTCCCAGCTAAGTCTTCTTCACATTACTCTCATGGAAGTCTTCCAGCTAAGTGGGTGGGTCCCACCCAGTGCCAGCTGTGACCAAGTCTGGCCCCTCTGGGGAACTGGGAGCCATTGAACTTGAAGACTGCAGAACCAGGGGTCCTTGGGATCTCGAGGTCATTCTAGAATCATAGAATTCTGTGCTCCCTTTTCAACGAAGTGTGCTGGTTACTAAAGTGGGCTCTAGAGAGAGTCGGCCTGGGTTTGAATCTCCCCTGCTCCACCCCTTACCAGCTCTGTGACTCTGGACAAGTTACTTTCACTCTCTGGGCCTCTGTTTCTTTATCTGTAAAGAGGTGATATACATAGGAACAAATTCCAGGGTTGATGGGAGGATTTAGTAAGTTAATCAATGCAAAACACTCAGAAGACTATCTGTCATATAGCAGGTTTCAGTAAAGGTTATGACCTCTTGTTATTGATATTATTTGTGTTAGTTCCTAGGACTGCTATAGCAAAGTACCACACCCTGGGGCGCTTCAACAACAGAAATTTCTTTTAACAAGTTCTGGAGGCTGGAAGGCTGAGATCAGGGTATCAGCCGGCTTGCTTCCTTCTGAGGCCTCTCTCCTTGGCTTGTGGACGGCCGTCTGCTCCCTGTGTCTTTATATGGTCTACTCTCTGTACCTGTCTGTGTCCTAATCTCTTCCTCTTCTTTTTTATTTTTATTTTTTTTCCTTTTGTGACAGAGTCTCTCTGTCGCCCAGGTTGGAGTGCAGTGGCGAGATTTGGCTCACTGCAGCCTCAACATCCTGGGCTCAAGTGATCCTCCCACCTCAGCCTCCTGAGTAGCTGGAGCTACAGTTCAGCGCCACCAGGCCTGGCTGATTTGTTTCTATTTTTTGTAAAGATGGAGTCTCCCTGTTTCCCAGGCTGGTCTTGAACAACTGGGCTCAAGCAGTCCTCCCACCTCTGCCTCCCAAAGTGCTGGGATTACTGGCACGAGCCGCTGCAGCCAGCCCTAACCTCTTCTTACAAGGACAACAGTCACACTGGATTAGACCCACTCTAATGATTTCATTTTAACTTCACTGCCTCTTAAGGACCCTGTCTTTAAACGGTCACATTCTGAGGTCCTGGGAGTAAGGACTTCATGTGAGTTTGAGAGGCGACAGAGCTCAACCCATACATAACATAACTGATATTATTGGTCCCCGTCCTCGTCTGGAGTGAGGTCTTTTCCATCTGCCTGACTTCCTGGGGTTTCTCTCCCTTTGTCACCCAGAAACCGCAGCCAGGCGCTCAGCTCCGAGGCGAGTGTGGATGAAGGTGGCGTCTTTGAGAGTCTGAAGGCAGAGGCGGCCTCCCCACCAGCGCTCTTCTCGGGCTTATCAGGCAGCCTCCCCACCAGCTCGTTCCCCTCCAGCCTGGTGCTGGGCTCCTCGGCTGGCGGCGGGGACGTGTTCATCCAGATGCCCGCATCCCGGGAGGAAGGAGGGGGCCGGGGCGAGGGGGGCGCCTACCACCACCGCCAGCCCCACCACCACTTCCACCACGGCAGCCACCGTGGGACCTCCTTGCTGCAGCACGTGGGAGGGGACCACCGGGGGCACTCGGAGGAGGGAGGCGACGAACAGCCCGGGACTCCTGCCCCCGCCCTGTCCGAGCTGAAGGCTGTGATCTGCTGGCTCCAGAAAGGACTCCCCTTCATCTTGATCCTCCTGGCCAAACTGTGCTTCCAGCACAAGCTCGGTGAGTTCTGGGGGCATGGCTGTCCTAGCCAGGGGCTTCACGGCAGTGTGCCTGCAGCCCATGGGGTTGGGGCTCCTTGTCTGAAGCCCAGGGAGAGGCAGCAGAGACCAACATGGGCTTCAGGGTGTAGGATTCTGAGGCAGACCTGGGTTCAAATCCTGGCCGACTAGCTGTGTGACTTGGGGCAAGTCGCTTGGCTTCTCTGGGCCTGTTTCCTCATCTGTCTAGTGGGGGTTATGATAGAAACTTCCTCGCTGTTTGGCTGGTATGAAGGAGTCCTGCGTAATAACTCAGACTGCTGGAGTCTGTCCCCTCCTAGCTGTGTGACGCGAGGTGCATTATTTAACCTCTCTGTGCCTCAGTTTCATCATCTGTAAAGTGGCGTTATTCTTCATGGGATCACAGTGATGTTAGATTTTAGTTAATATGAGTAACATACATTTCTATTTTTAATATATATATATATATAGAGAGAGAGAGAGAGAGAGACTGGGTCTTACTCTTTCGCCCAGGCTGGAGTGCAGTGGTGCAATCTCAGCTCACTGCAACCTCTACCTCCTGGGTTCAAGTGATTCTGGTGTCTCAGCCTCCTGAGTAGCTGGGATTACAGGTGTGCACCACCATGCCCAGCTAATTTTTTAATTATTAGTACAGATGGGGTTTCACCACGTTGGCCACGCTGGTCTCAAACTCCTGACCTCAAGTGATCCACCTACCTCGGCCTCCCAAAGTGCTGGAATATAGGGGTGAGCCACTGTGCCCAGCCTTACTTACTCTTTTAATAGGTATGTGCACTCCAGGTATTTTTCCAGATCTACTGTATTTCTTCACTAAAAACATATAAAGCAAGAACGAGTGGCCCCGTAATCCTTTTTTCTACCCTTCTCTTTGATTAAACAACAAAAAAACCTGCCAAGTGAAAAAGAAAATGACCATACTCGCAAAACAAAACTTAGCTGTGATTTTGCCAGAATTCAGGGTAACGGGGGAACATGCCGGCATTCGCTTCTAGGAACAGAAAGGGAGGGCTGATAGGGCTGAGATCGCACCACTGCCTCCATCCTGGGCTGATAGGGCAGCACCCAGCAAGGAAGGTGGAGGAATCCAAGCGAGCTGTCACTCATCAGAGAGAAGAAAATAAGAAATAAAGAATAGTCTCACCTCCTCTCGAGGCTCTCTCTCTCTTTATTTTTCGTAGAGATAGGCTCTCACTATGTTTCCCAGGCTGGTCTTGAACTCGTAGCCTCAAGCAATCCTCCCACCTCAGCCTCAAAAAGTGTTGGGATTACAGGCGTGAGCCACCGCACCTGACAATATTTTCTCATGGAAAGTGGTAGGCCACAAGATAATTCTTACCATAACTCCTGCTGCAGGACTAAAACAACAGACTATAAACCGGCCAGGGCACAGCAACACCATGATCTAATAAGTAAGCCGGGCGCAGTGGCTCATGCCTGTAATCCCAGCACTTTAAGAGGCTGAGGTGGGTGGATCAGTTGAGATTAGGAGTTCGAGACCAGCCTGGCCAACATGGCAAAACCCCATCTCTACTAAAAATTTTTAAAAATTAGCCAGGCGTGGTGGTGGGTGCCTATAATCCCAGCTACTCAGGAGGCTGAGACACAAGAATCGCTTGAACCTGGGGGCGGAGGTTTGCAGTGAGCTGAGATCGCACCACTGCACTCCATCCTGGTGACACAGCAAGAGTCAGTCTCAAACAAACAAACAAACAAACAAAAGTCCAGTAAATAATTAATAATAACAATGACAGTATACTAGGCTGGGCACAATGGCTCGTGCCTGTAATCTCAGCATTTTGGGAGGCTGAGGCAGGCAGATCACCTGAGGTCAGGAGTTTAAGACCAGCTGGCAAACATGGTGAAACCCCATCTCTACCAAAAAGTACAAAAATTAGCTGGGCATGGTGGTGGGTGCCTGTAATCCTAGCTACTTGAGAGAGGCAGGAGAATTGCTGGAACCCAGAAGGCAGAGGATGTAGTGAGCCGAGGTCAGGCCATTGCACTCCAGCCTGAGCAACAAGAGTGAAACTCCATCTCAAAACAAACAAACCAACCACAGTTATACTAGAGGCTGTTTATTGACTGTTGAGTATGTGTCAGATAGGAGACTAAGCACTTTAGGAATCATTATCTTATTCCCTGATAACAACAATAGGTAGTATTTATCCATCACTGGCTGTGTGCCAGGCTCAATGTTAAGTATTTCAATGTATGTTAATAACCCATATAACAGGCCTGGCGCAGTAGCTCACACCTGTAATCCCAGCACTTTAGGAGGCCAAGGAGGGAGGATTGCTTGAGCCCAGGAATTTGAGACCAGCCTGGGCAATATAGTGAGACTTCTACTCTACAAAAAAATTTAAAATTTAGCTGGGCATGGTGGCACACGCCTTTGCCCAGCTACTCAGGAGGCTGAGGGGGGAGGATCGCTTGAACCTGGGAGGCGAAGGTTGCAATGAGCCGAGACTGCATCACTACACTCTAGCCTGGGCAAAAGAGTAAGACCCAGTCTTACTGAGAAAATCAAAAAACAAACAAACAAACAAAATGAGTGTAAGTACATCAGGTGAAAGGAATCCTGTCTGCAAATAACAAAAAGCAGGACTCGAAAATCGTTATTCCGGAAGAATTCCAAGATCATAGCTTGGCAAACAGCGGCAATTAAATGTCTGGTGGAAGAAAATTAAGTTCCGTCCTCCCATCTGCCTGGGTCAGGTTTGTCTGTTAGCTGGGATTTTTTTTTTTTTTCTCGTTGAACGTTAAATTTGAATTCCTTATGGTGCTGTGAGTTTTTTCTTTTTCTTCTTCTTCTTTTTTTTTTTTTTTTGAGACAGAGTCTTGCCTGTTGCCCAGGCTGGAGTGCACTGGTGTGATCTCAACTTACTGCAGTCTCTCCGTCCTGGGTTCAAGCAATTCTTGTGCTTCAGCCTCCTGAGTAGCTGTGACTGCAGGTGTTCGCCACCATGTCTGGCGAATTTTTATATATTTAGTAGAGATGTGATTTCACCATGTTGGCCAGGCTCGTCTCAAACTCTTGGCCTGAAGCGATCCACCCACCTCGGCCTCCCAAAGTGCTGGGATTATGGGCATGAGCCTCAGTACCCAGTTGTGAGTTTTTTCAGTGTATCTTTTCTCACAAATTCTATCGGATTCTATCAATCAGATTCTTTTTGAAAGTAGATATAGTAAGAGGCATCATTTACTAACTGCTAAGGATTATGATCTAGAAGCTTTATCCCTCCATGAGGTATAAGTAATGTTATTGCTCTGTCCATTTTACACCTGAGGAAACTGGGGCTTAGAGAGGTGCCAAGCTCACACAGAGAGGAAGGGCAGAGCTGGGATTTGAACCCAGGCCTTACCAGACTGCACAGTGCTGATCTGGTGCTATAAAGTATCCCCACAGGGACCTAATCCTGTCCCTAAGTCAGAACGGCTCAGAATTCCCAGTGATTTAGATGGCAGCCCAAATCCCCCAGAAGCAGGATTTTTAACTCCGAAGGGACCAGGGATGTGTATTTTCCCCGACCTTGCTCAGCACCCTGGGCTAGGCCTGATGAGTCTAAGTGGGTGCTGTCAAGCCCTCCTCTGTCCCGCAGGCATCGCTGTGTGCATCGGGATGGCCAGCACCTTCGCCTATGCCAACTCCACGCTCCGAGAACAGGTCTCTCTGAAGGTGAGTCACCTGGCAACCTAGTCTCCGGTGGCTGCTGCAACAAATAGCCACGGGCCAGGCGCAGTCTTCCCAAGTGTCCAACGTCCATTGTATCATTTGTATGCCTTTGCATCCTCATAGCTTAGCTCCCACATAGCAGTGAGAACACACGATGGTTGGTTTTCCATTCCTGAATTACTTCACTTAGAATAGTAGTTTCCAATCTCATCCAGGTCACTGCAAATGCTATTAATTCATTCCTTTTTATGGCTGTGTAGTATTCCATTAGATATATATACATATATGCATACACACACACACACACACATACACACACACACACCCCACAGTTTCTTTATTCACTCGTGATTGTGGGTTGGTTCCACAATTTTGCAATTGTAAATTGTGCTGCTATAAACATGTGTGTACAAGTATCTTTTTGGAATAATGACTTCTTTTCCTCTGGGTAGATACCCAGTAGTGGGATTACTGGATCAAACGCTAGCTCTTTAAGGAATCTCCACACTGTTTTCCATAGCGACTGGGCTGGTTTTCATTCCCACCAGCAGTGCAGAAGTGTTCCCTTCACCACATCCGTGCTAGCATCTATTGTTTTTTGATTTTTTGATTATGGCCATTCTTGCAGGAGTGAGGTAGTATCACATTGTGGTTTTGATTTGCATTTCCCTGGTCATTAGTGATGTTGAGCATTTTTTCATGGTTTTTTTTTTTTTTTTTTTTTTTTTTGGCCATTTGTATATCTTCTTTTGAAAATTGTCTATTCATGTCCTTAGCCCACTTTTTGATGGGATTGTGTGTGTGTTTTTTTTTTACTGATTTGTTTGAGTTCATTGTAGATTCTGGATATTAGTCCTTTGTCAGATGTATAGATTGTGACGGTTTCTCCCGTTCTGTGGGTGGTTGGTTTACTCTGTTAACTGTTCCTTTTGCGGTGCAAAGGTCTTTAGTTTAATTAGCTCCCAACAATTTATCTTTGTTTTTATTGCATTTGCTTTTGGGTTCTTGGTCATGAAATTCCTTGCCTAAGCAAATGTCTAGAAGGGTTTTTCCAATGTTATCTTCTAGAATTTTTATAGTATCAAGTCTTAGGTTTAAATCCTTAATCCATCTTGAGTTGATTTTTGTATAAGGTGAGAGATGAGGATCCAGTTTCATTATCCTACATGCGCCTAGTCAATTATCCCAGCACCATTTGTTGAAAAGGGTGTCATTTCTCTGCTTTATGTTTTTGTTGTTTTTGTTATGTTCCATTAGCTGTAAGTATTTGGGTTTATTTCTGGGTTCTCTATTCTGTTCTAATGGTCTATGTCCCTATTTTTACATCAGTACCATGCTGTTTTGATGACTATGGCTTTATAGTATAGTTTGAAATCAGGTAGTGTGATGCCTCCAGATTTGTTCTTTTTGCTTAGTCTTGCTTTGGTCATGTGGGCTCTTTTTTGGTTCCATGTGAATTTTAGAATTGTTTTTTCTTTTTCCTTTTTTTCTTTTCTTTTTTTTTTTTTGAGACGGAGTTTCGCTCTTGTTACCCAGGCTGGAGTGCCATGGTGTGATCTCGGCTCACCGTAACCTCCGCCTCCTGGGTTCAGGCAATTCTCCTGCCTCAGCCTCCTGAGTAGCTGGGATTACAGGCACACGCCACCATGTCCAGCTAATTTTTTGTATTTTTAGTAGAGACGGGGTTTCACCATGTTGACCAGGATGGTCTCGATCTCTTGACCTCGTGATCCACCCACCTTGGCCTCCCAAAGTGCTGGGATTACAGGCTTGAGCCACCGCGCCCTGCCTAGAATTGTTTTTTCTAATTCTGTGAAGAATGATGGTGGTATTTTGATGGGGATTGCATTGAATTTGTAGATTGCTTTTGGCAGTATGGTCATTTTCACAAAATAGATTCTACCCATTCATGAGCATGGGATGTGTTTCCATTTGTTCATGTCATTTCTGATTTCTTTCAGCAATGTTTTGTAGTTTTCCTTGTAGAGGTTTTTTGACTCCTTAGTTAGGTATATTTCTAAGTTTTTTTTTTTTCTTTCTTGCAGCTATTGTAAAAGGAGTTGAGTTCTTCTTGATTTGATTTTTCACCTGGTCACTGTTGGTATATAGAAGAGCTACTGATTTGTGTACATTAATCTTGTATCTGGAAACTTTGTGTTTTTGTTTTTGTTTGTTTTTTGAGATGGAGTTTTGCTCTTGTTGCCCAGGTTGGAGTGTAATGGCGCAATCTCAGCTCCCTGCAACCTCCACCTCCAGGGTTCAAGTGAGTCTCCTGCCTCAGCCTCCAGAGTAGCTGGGATTACAGACGTGTGCCACCATACCCAGCTAATTTTGTATTTTTAGTAGAGATGAGGTTTCTCCATGTTGGTGGGTCTGGTTTCAAACTCCCAATCAGGTGATCTGCCCTCCTTGGCCTCCGTAAGTGCTGGGATTACAGGTGTGAGCCACCACGCCTGGCCAAAACTTTGTTTTATGTTGGCTGTGGATTTATCATAGATGGCTTTTATTATACTAAGGTATGTCTCTTCTATGCCAATTTTGCATAGAGTTTTAATCACAAAGGGATGTTGGATTTTGTCAAATGCTTTTTCTGCATCTATTGAAATGATCATGTGATTTTTGTTTTTAATTCTGTTTATGTGGTGTATCACATTTATTGACTTGTGCACTGTTAAGCCATCCCTGCATCCCTGATATGAAACCCACTTGATCATGGTGGATTATCTTTTCGATATGTTGTTGGATTTGGTTAGCTAGTATTTTGTTAAGGATTTTAGCATCCTGTGTTCATCAAAGATATTTATTAGCCTATGGTTTTCTGTTTTGGTTATGTCCTTTCCTTGGTTTTGTATTAAGGTGATGCTGGCTTCATAGAATGAATTAGGGAAGGGTCCTCCTTTCTCTATCTTGTGGAATAATGTTAAAAGATTGGTACCAGTTTTCTGAATGTCTGGTAGAAATTCTGCTGTGAATCTGTCTGGTCCTGGACTTTTTTTTGTTGTTGGTAATTTTTAAATTACCATTTCAATCTTGCTGCTTGTTATTTGTCTGTTTAGGGTATCTACTTCTTCCTAATTTAAGCTAGGAGGGTTGTATTTTTCCAGGAATTTATCCATCTCTTCTAGGTTTTCTAGTTTATGTGTGTAAAGGTGTTCAAAGCAGCCTTGAATGACCTTTTGTATTTCAGTGGTGTCAGTTGATATATCTCCTGTTTCGTTTTTTTAGTGAGGTTATTTGGATTTTCTCTCTTCTTCTCCTCATTAATCTTGCCAGTGGTCTATCAGTTTTATTTATCTTTTCAAAGAACCAGCTTGTTGTTTCGTTTATCTTTTGAATTGTTTTTCTGTTTCTATTTTATTTAGTTCTGCTCTGGTCTTGGTTATTTCCTTTCTTCTGCTGGGTTTGGGTTTGGTTTGTTCTTGTTTCACTAGTTCCTTGAGGTGTGACCTTATGGTGTCAGTTTGGCCTCTTTCAGTCTTTTTGATGTAGGGATTTAGGGCTCTGAACTCTCCTCTTAGCTCCGCCTTTGCTGTATCCCACAGGTTGTGATGGGTCGTGTCATTATTGTCTTTCAGTTCGAAGAATTTTTTTTTTTTTTTGAGACGGAGTTTTCACTCTTGTTACCCAGGCTGGAGTGCAATGGCGCGATCTCGGCTCACCGCAACCTCCGCCTCCTGGGTTCAGGCAATTCTCCTGCCTCAGCCTCCTGAGTAGCTGGGATTACAGGCACATGCCACCATGCCCAGCTAATTTTTTTTTTTTTGTACTTTTAGTAGAGACGGGGTTTCACCATGTTGACCAGGATGGTCTCGATCTCTCGACCTCGTGATCCACCCGCCTTGGCCTCCCAAAGTGCTGGGATTACAAGCTTGAGCCACCGCGCCCGGCCCGAAGAATTTTTTAATTTCCATCTTGATTTCGCTTTTGACCCAGTGCTCAGTCAGGAGCAGGTTATTTAATTTCCATGTATTTGCATGGTTTTGAAGGTTCCTTTGGAGTTAATTTCCAGTTTTATTCCACTGTGGTCTGAGAGAATACTTGATACAATTTCAGTTTTCTTAAATTTATTGAGGCTTATTTTGTGGCCTATCATATGGTCTATCTTGGAGAAAGTTCCATGCGCTGTTGAATAGAACGTGTATTCTGCAGTTGTCGGATGAAATGTTTTGTATATGTCTGTTTAGTCCATTTGTTCCAAGGTATAATTTATTTTTATTTATTTATGTTTATATATATATTATTATTATTATTATTTTGAGACCAGAGTTTCATTTTTGTTGCCCAGGCTAGAGAGCAGTGGCGAGATGCTGGCTCACTGCAACCTTGCAGAGAGAATTCAAGGAATTCTCCTGCCTCAGCCTCCCAAGTAGCTGGGATTATAGGTGCCTGCCACTACGTCCAGCTAATTTTTGTATTTTTAGTAGAAACAGGGTTTCACTGTGTTGGCTAGGCTGGTCTCGAACTCCTGACCTCGTGATCTGCCTGCCTCCACCTCCCAAAGTGCTGGGATTATAAGCATGAGCCATTGCACCCAGCCTCCAAGGTATAATTTAAAGCCATTGTTTCTTTGTTGCCTTTCTGTCTCGATGACCTGTCCAGTGCTATCAGTGGAGTATTGAAGTCCTTCACTATTACTGTGTTGCTGTCTATGTCATTTCTCAGGTCTATTAGCAATTGTTTTATACATTTGGAAGCTGCAGTGTCAGGTGCATGTATGTTTAGAACTGTGATATTTTCTTGTTGAACAAGGCCTTTTACCATTATATAATGTCCCTCTTTGTCTCTTTTAACCACTTCTGCTTTGAAGTTCATTTTTTCTGACATAAGGATAGCTACCCCTGCTCACTTTTGGTGTCCTTTTGCATGAAATGCCCTTTCCTACCCCTTTACTTTATGTGAGTCCTTATGCGCAAGATGAGTCTCCTGAAAGCAGCAGTTGGTTGGCTGGTGAGTTCTTATCTATTCTGCAGTTCTGTGTCTTTTAAGTGGAGAATGTAGGCCAT